GATGTAGATCACCACGTGATTTTATAATAAAGTCATATGACCACGAACAACGATAGCATATAGATAACTATAGATATTTCATAATTTTATTTCATTCAATTCTGACAATACATATTCAGGGATACAACGGTGAGACTTATACTTTCTGGCAGCATATTCTGCCAACTTACCAGTGATTCCATTCCTATACAAATCCATATAGCGCCATGCTTTCCTAGCGAATCTTCTTATTGTAATCGTATCAACGGATTCCAAGGCTGTAGGAACGACACGTTGCAAGCCTGACCAAGAATAGTCGCAATTCTCTCGAGCATATCTTTTCGCCGCACCCCAGTATCGCTCGATATAATTCAGTTCGCAGTGGAACTTCGGGTAAAAAATACATTTATGCCCAGCTTCCAGTATGACTTCTTCTAACGCGCTTTTTTGTGATAAAAAATCCGGCTGTAATGAAACGATTCGCCGTGCACAACAGTCCGTCCGATTTATATCATCAACCTTATCCTTGCATAAGTTACAGTCAGCACTTAATCCATCTTTCCATAATCCACGTTCGATTAACACCTGTTTCATCCCTTTAGGCTCGTTTTTTTCATTGACCATTGATTGATGGCAGTTGTCTGGTCCAAAAACCGTGTCTCGCATTTTCGGTTGCTTACCCCCAGGTTTTAGGTTCATCCGACTTGCCACGAGTGCATCAGATCTGTATGCCGCATGGTTCGAACTATTATCGAATGCAAACAAGGCAATACAGTTTGGAAATACGGTTTCAAAGATCGGTATAGCCTTCGTTTTCACTTGTTCGACTAAATTCTCACTCGTCCAGTACCCGTCCCGATCTTTTCCCGGTTGAAGATAGACTCGAGCTTCTTCAGCTATGGATGGGTTTTCTTGATGCTGCTGTGAGTTTAGTTTAAGTCGGCCATATTCTTCTGTCAAAAATTCACTAATCATGATGGAACGCCCGTTTCCCTTCTTGCGTAATGGCAACTCTCCGGATTTCGCCCATACTCCTCTTTTACCATCGTTTGAGTAGAATATACTCTCATCATGCGTCACAAGAACTATTTCCTTTTCGTTTGCTTCCAAAATCAACGGTATCCGTTCCATATTCTCCCCTTCATACTTAGCCATACGCTTTTCGTAACTAAATATTGTGTCCAGAAACGATTGTCGATACCTTATAACATCGGGACGCTCATGTCCATCATGGTATATGCCTATTTATCATTATGTAAAATTATCTTAATAAATTTTTTTTTATTTTTAATAATGAATTCATTCGTACCTTGCTTTTGTGATTGAAAAAAATATCCAAGCACATTAAGCCAACGCACTGCAGTTGCAATACCGATGGTGTTTTTTTTCAATATTCCTGAATTGACAAGGAGCTCATCTTCAACAAATTCTTTGAATTTTAATGGAGTGGTTGTTCCCCCCTGAGATCGGATCCATATATGGCATTTCCCCGCTATATCTTCATCATCTACCAATCGTATAGTTTTTTGATGCTTACCTTGACGGCTTATTGGTAGATGGTTATGTTGAAGCCAATAATTGGCCCAATATCGGATAGATCTTGCTCTATATGGTGCACTTTCGATATAAACCAGTTGTGCAGCTTCCATACTGGCTCTTTGTTTTCCTTTTTCATACAATCTATTCAAATATTCAAAAACTGCTCTCTTCTTGTTACATTCAGTAACTGTTAACACTTTTTGCTGTTCTTTAAGTTCTTTTTTTAGAATTTCAATTCTTTCATTCAGGTTATATTGATTGTCTTGTTCATCATTTTCTGATTCACCTAAAATCTCATCAAAATCATCTGGAATCGAATTTTTAATTAAAAATGTTGTTATTCTTTCAGTTCCTTTG